ATGAAAGAGCCGTCTTTAAAACACTCAAGATGTACTCAAAGCCAGGCTGCAATGAGCTGTGAAATCTCAGGGCAGAGCCAGGGCTGGGAAAGAGTGAGGGGAAAATCTGTTCCAGAGGTTCAGAGGGTCTAAAACTTGCATTTTCATGGGAAACAAAAGTAGATATTTGGGCTTTTCAGCAGGAAAACTCTTTCTCCTTCCCCTGCCGTGTGTGGTTTTAAGCCCTGGAGAAACCTTAAGCCCCAGTTGCACAAGGTGCAGGGTCCAAGACCTTCTCCAGCCCCTGTTCCCTTTATCAGCACCCCTGGCTTTGTAAATTTTGCTTTATTCACCCCAAACTGAAATGCCCGAAGATGGCCCATCAAACCCACTGCCTGCTTGCTGGTACAGAGGGGAGAATTACCTTCAATATTAATAGCTGCCCTTTATTTCAACTTGCTGACACCATGAAGATGTTTTTAATTAAAACTTGTTAGCAGCAACCTGTTTCTGAAAACGAGCACAGCTAACCTGATTATGGAGCTGCTTCCTTAACAATCCTGATCTTCCCAGAACCCTGTCCTGGGCACATGTGTAAATCCTCCCCCCACCCCTCAGCAAGCCTCTTCCCAAAGCGAAGAGGGTGGAAATCCTGGGCAAGTGAAAGTTTTGGGGTGCTGCAGGGTTGGGATGCTGGATGCAGGCAGAGATGACGTGGGATGCAGGCAGAAGTGTTACGGGATGCAGACAGAGATGATTTAGGATGAAGGCAGAGGTGATGTGGGATGCAGGAAGAAATGATGCAGGGTGGAGGTGGAGGTGATGTTGTTGTATCCAGCAGTCAACCCTGCATGGGGGGTGCTCAATCCCCCTGGAGAGCAATGCAGAGCAGTGATTTGAGCTCCGCAGGCAATTCCAGGTGTGGAAAGCCTATTTTGGAGCAGAGGAAAACTTCAAACTATCTCCTAGGCATGACCTTGGGCTGGGGCTGGGAAGCTCCACACTAAGTGAGAACCTCCAAGCAGCTGAGCAGGTGGGCCAGCAGCGAGAGGCAGCCCAGGGGGGGCCGAACATCCCCACCACCCCACCTCTGTGCCTCCTCCCCACCTCTGCCTTGTGCCAGAGCCCCGTGCAAGGAGCAAAATTATGAATGGCTCCTTCCCTCTGCCAGCCCCCCCCCGGCTTTCACTTGCGCCTCGCCATCCCCCACGAGCAGCTGTTTCCTATTACCATAAAAGCTGACAAGGTGCAGGTCTGGAGCGGAGCCTCCTCTGGCAGGTAATTTTGATGAGACGCAGAGGGCCGGGGCCGGGTGTCTCTGATGGGTTTCCGGAGCTGTTATCAGCCCCGTGCAGCCCCCTCCCGTCTGCATGTCCCACCCGCTGCTTGGTTGGGGGGGGCTCAGCAGCACCGGTCCTTGCCTTGGGGCTGCTTTGTTTACTTTTGCTCACACTGCAGTTGGGAAAGAGGATGGATGCTTGTGGCAGGGAGGGGAGAAGAAATAATCCCCGGGGTGTTTTTGCTTGTCTGGGACCATGGAATGGCTTGGAGATTGCTGCAAGGTGCAAGCGGGCAGGCAGCATCTTCCCCTCTGGATGTCATCCATGCAGTGAGTTGCAATGAGCAGCCCAAGCCCATGGTGCATTTCCAAAAACAGCCTCAGGGCTCGTTGGTTCAGTCCCCTCCAGTGAGCATTTCACCTGTCTCCAGGAAATACATCTCCAGCACACCTGGCTTGGACACATTCGCAGCTTTTTATCTCCCTGCAGCAGAAATAACCCTGTTGCACGCTGGGGATGGATAACCCAGTTCAGGCCTTCAGCCCTCCCTGTATTTCTTCCCGTGCCCAGAAAAAGGCCCCCAGCCCTCTCCCCTTTCCCCACACTGCATTCACACCCCATTGCGGGATGCAGGTGAGTGGGCACTGCCGTGCCACCTCGCTGCCTGCTCCCAAACAAGGCATCTATTCATGCCGGAGGTCACCGTAAGCTGTGAGGCCAGCCAACACTTGAGGATTAAATATATTTATTATATAAAGCAAAGAAATAAATGTTCTTTCTTCTGGGGACCTGTTGATCCGCTTCCACAGCTGGAAGGAGCAGCACCAGGTTGTAATGTGAGCTGCACCCCTGTGCCCCCAGACAAATGAATCACCTGCTCCCATGTCAGACACTTTAAACATCATCTCGTGGCTCTGCACAGGGGCTCGGAGGACCAGCAGTCAGGGCTGAGGTTGCCCTGGCTGGAGAATGCAGCGTGGGAGAAGGTGGGAGGTGGGGGAGCGGAGGCAATTCGTCTCCACCCTTTTTGGTGCAGGCTTTAACAAGTTGTTGCTTTTTGTTAATGGGGTTAGGGGCATGAGAGCACCTGTGTGCACATGCAGGGACTGTGTTTCACCTGGCTGGGGGTAAACTGGCACGTTGTCCTGTATTTGTGCCTCCGATGCCTGGAGCTCCCCAAATGTTTGGTTTTAAGCATAACCAGGAACAGCTCGCAGAGCATCACAAGGATGGGGAGGGCAGGAAAGGCTGGCCAAACATCTCCTGAGGTGGTTCATGGCTGGGGGCCTGAGTCCAAACAGGCATTGTGCCCTTTTGGGCTGGCACGGCAGGGGTCTGCAGCCTCCCTTTCTCCTCCGTGGTGGTTGCTTCAGATGAGGTCATGATTTGGTCTCCCTAGAAACTCCATGGTCAGCCTCATTTGGCTTTCCAAGCATTATCCATTACAATTGCCCTTTATTAGCTGGTAATTATATAATTGCCTTCCCTTCAACTTCAGCCCAGGCTGTGCAGGCAGCTCGTGGACGCGTTGCATCTCTCCCATCCCCAGCCCCATTAGCAGGGGGATGCCATCCTTCTCCAACAAAATTTCCAGCACTGACAGGCCTGCCTGGACGCTGTTCCCTCTTCTACTACCCAAACAATGGGAGCTTGGATGGAGCAGGGCAAAATTTGGGGCAAATTTGAGGTAGCAGAGGAATTGACCCAGTCAGTGGTGGAGGGGTTAATGTGCTTACTTTCTTCTCCCCAGCCTCCCTCAAGCCTGTCCCCTGCGTCTCCTGCTCCCCCACCACACACACTCCGATCTCAGTTGCAGTCCCACTTGCATTTTGCTAATAAAACCCTTTGGTCCTGCTTAATGTCAGCCAGACCCCATTTCTACATGCCTGACAGCTTCCAGGGCCGAGCAATACCTGGGTGTCCGGAGGAGGAGAGCTTCCATAGAGAGCCCCAGGCTCCAGCTTTTCCAGATTTGCCTTTTTTTTTTTTGCTGCCAATCCTGCCTCAATTTGCTGATGTGTTTCTCAGGATGCTGCCTGGACACGTGATGCTCCATAGCATCCTTCTTCATCACCAACACAAACTCCTGCTGGACCCAAAGGCATCTCCTCCCACCTTAACCACCCTGTGCAATATCTCTGAGTATGGAGAGGGTGAGCACTTTGGGGCCAATCACCTCTCTGTGGCAATTTTAAGCAAAAAAAAATCAGATTAAAATCTTGCTGCGTTGGAAGGAATGAGTTCAAGTGCAACATCTGAATGGGGCTTTTTACACTGAACCCTCTTTGTGCAACTCCTGGCATGCTGGAGGTCTTTCATCCCGGTGTTGGTTAAGTGTGGGGTTTAGTTACCAAGACAAGTTCTTTTTTTTTTTTTTTTCATCATCTGGTTCCAAGGCACTATCAGCTTCTCCACAAAGCATAATTGCCCAGAATAAAAGAATAAAGACCCTCTCCTGGGGCAGGATGATGACCTGAGAGCTCTTCCAGCCCAAGAACTGCTCTTGAAGCCCAGAAAGCATCACCCTGTCCAGACCCCAAGTGGCTGCAAAGGTAGAGGTATGTAGGAACCACCTCCAGGGTGGTGGTAGCCCTGTTTTAGGTATTAAAACCAGTAAAACCCTACCAGACAATATTGCAGCAGAATATTGCAGAGCCAAATTCAATATCCTATATATTTTGTACAGGTATGTTTTGGCATATTTTTATTTTCCCAAAGCCACTGTTCTCCCAGAGACAGCAGCCGAAGAACTGAGACACACCAAACCTGCCACATTTTGCATACAAAGGCAGCCACCGTCAGCCAAAACCCAACCCAAGCCCTCTCAGACCACAGTCCCTGGCCCTAAATCCTCACAAAGCTTGCCCCAAAGCAGCACCACTTCCTGGTGCTCCCCAACCTCTCTGCAGAAGCACCACCCTTGCTGTGTCCTCATGGAAGTGCAACGTCTCATTGATTTTAGGACATTTTGGTGCTCAGCACAGTGCATGGGTGTAGGATTTGGCCCATAGGGAAAAACTCCACTATCCCACCAGAGGTTTGACTCCAGCGGTGGTCTTGGGCTTGAGAAGCACTTTGGGATGAAAGAAGTGATAGAAGTGTCAAATATTATGCTAAGTAGCTCTGTAAGAACTCCTGGATGTTTTAGGAGCGCTGCCAGGCAGGGAGCTGAATAAAGCCAAACTCTCCCAGTGTATTTATTTTTTGAAGGCTTAAAGTTGTTTAAACAGTAAGGTCAGAGCAGATAACAAGGCTGGGAACACAGGTGCCCAATTCTCTTCCTCTGCACATTGATACTCTGCATGGAGGAGTTCAAAACAGGTACCCCAAACGCCAAGGTAGCAGAAGAAAATTTGGGGTGCATCCAGCACAATATTTGGGACACCCTTCCCCACCCGTGATGCACAGCTCTGGGATGCTCCAGTGTGCCCTGCCTGGCCCAGGAGCCCCCAAACCCCTCCTGGTACCTGGGGCCATTTCATGCCCTGGTTGGGGTGCAGGGACGTAGCTGAGGGACCCAGAGGACATGGAAGCAGCCGATCAAACTGCTGATCCAGGCTGAGGTCGTGCTTGCAGAGCTCCCTCCTGTCATTTACTGATCCTAATCAGGCTGCAATAAAACCTGTGATTGCACATCTCATAAGCGAGATCACAGGGAGAACAGGAAATGAGCTAAGTTAATCAAATTAGATGAAAGACAAGGAAAAAGGAGTCTGAAAATCCCATATGGGGAACAATTTTATTAGTGCTTTGCACTCCCGTAGAACATTTTTGATGGGGAACACTCGAGCATTAATTCAGCCAGCCAGTGCCACTCAGTAATCTCATGGAGAGAGGAGAAGGGACAGAGGTGGGCATTGCCTCCAGCGTCACCAGCGTTGTGCTGCCTCGAGGGGAAAAAAGGATGTGCCTCGTCCTCATCCTGTTAGGGCAGGAAGGAGAAGAAATGAAAAAGGCTGGGCTGGAAAAACTTCATATTGGGCTTCATATTTAGAAACCCTTTCCCAAAAGCAAAAGAGATGCAAAATACTAAGCTGTATTTGTTCATGCCAAGCTCAGAAGGCAGCTCCTGCTCAATGATGGGAGGCACTGGGCAGGCAGTGGGATGGGGCTGCCAGAGTGGGCAGCAGGACTTTGGGAGAAAATCAGCAGACAGACTTCTTGCCTGCTTCTGTGCCCTTATATGTGAGAGACAATAAAGACGTATTTCTTGTAGCAATGTTCTCCCTTTGATGAATTTCAGATAAACCCACATTTTTCTCCCTTGCAGTTTCAGGAGGAGTTTCTTGTCTCTTCATGTTCTTTGGGACTTTCCTTCTGCTGCTGTCCTCAGCCTGATGGTGAGGAGCCAGAGCTCTCTTCTCCCTGCTCTGGGCTACAGAAATGCAAATGAAATGAGCAGGACACATCTTCCTGTCTTGATCTCACATTTGGTTCCTTCTTCCTGCCTTTCTCTGAATTTCCTTAACAGAAGGAATGAATATTTCATTACATTCCTTCTGACATTGACTTCTCTTGCAAGTCACCACAAAAGCCTGGCAGAAATATAGAAGATGAATGCAAAGTATTGTGTATGCATCGCATTAAACCCATAACTTTCAGACCACCCAACAACACAGAAGACAGGCTTGACGCTCGATGGTGATTTTACCTTGCCCTCTGCTATCGGTTTTGGGGTCTTGCTGTCATGCAGAGGCTCATTTGCGGAGAGTGGGTGACACTGAGGCTTCAAAGAGCTTGGCTTTCATGGTATTCTCCCATCGCTGTGCAGATGTAATGCCCAGGCCATCTTTAGCAGTGATAGCCCTGTGGAAGGGACATCTCAGAGGAACAGCCAGTCTTCCTCAGCTGAAGCTTTTGAGAAGCTGTGTGTTTGTCCTCTCAAGGATCAGATGCAAACCAAGGAAGGTGGCAATGGTTTGAAGCCAGGACAGGATGTGTTGGTCCCATCTATAAGTAAATAAAAGAGTAATGTCTTGGAAGACATGTGCCCATGCATAAAACATGTTATCTTTTTTTCTGTTCCCATATTGCAAGGAAGCCAAGGGTCAGACAGCTGTGCCTGAAGAGCTGGGTATATAAATTGCCATTGTGGTTGCTGACACCAGGTCACTGGTTGCACTGGGGCAAGCGTGGGTAGCCTTCACCCAGTGCAGAAAACCAAAATACAAATCCTCTGCACCCGTGCTTCCTGCACTCACCTTCTGCACATTGGTGCATTGTACCTGCTGGATAGAAGCCCTGGGAGAGCTCTCTGCAATATTTTGCAATATTACCATCCTGGAAATGCTCCGACTCCACCCGCTGCTCCTGGGACCCAGGCTGTGGAAGGAGGAGAGCTCTTTGGAAAGGCTCCCCATCTGCAGCTGGGTTAATGCGTCCCACATGTGGCCCAGCTGAGGGTTACGCACGGGGATGTAAAAGGGCCGCAGTGGATCCTGCACGAGCACAGCATCCTCCAGCCTCACTGCGAGGCTGGCTGGTGCTCCAACAGCTGGGTGGATGGATGGCATCTCCTCCAGCCCCGAGGCAGGAGATGCCCAGGGTAAACTCTGCAAGCTCTGGTGGCAGATTCAGGGAGACCTCTTAGGGAAATGTTCCAAGGCCCCATCCTGAGCATACCCCAGGCTCTCCAAACAGTTTGCAAATCGTGCAGGAGGGGACTGGACAAGAAGCCATGCAAGGACAAGACATTTCAACATCGGAATGATTTAGGAGTAAAATAAGCAATAAGATCCAGGGCTCCAAAGCCCCAGCTTTGGACTTCCAAAAGCTCTTAGCAAACCCCAAAACTCTTTAGCTCCCACTGCTTTGGCATCATTTTTGGTAGTGACATGGGTTGGATTTCATCCAGTTAATGAAGTGTTGACCACCTCCCTGCCTTGCACAAGAGCTCCTATGTGTAGCCCACCAGGAGACCCCCACCAGTCTTTTAGCCCCCCTTGACCTGCCCTAGCCACATTTCCCCCTGTGTGCAAAGAGGGGAAAGCGTTTGACTTGCAAATATTGTTTCAGTTCCTCGTTGAGAGTCAAGCATTTTGAGTAGCACCGTGCTGCACCAGGGCTCCTCCACCATCCACCACCACCTCCTTTTCCCTCTTGCATCACGCTTGCACCCTGTGAGGTGCTCCCTGCTCAGTTTTGGGGATGCAGGGGAGATTTCTGGATTGCAATCTGTCATGGGAATATTCCCTTGACTTACTTGGAATGGTCTTCGTCTCCATATATCCACTTCATCTGTCCCCTTCCCCACCTCCTGGTTGCCACATTGCTTCAATCTGTATGCATTACCCATTTATGGGCTTTTTTAGGGGACAAAAATCCACACCCACCTTGAGTACTGAGCTTCCTGGCAGAGAATTTTTAATATTTTGGGGGTGGCATCTTTTTTCTTTTTTTTTTTTTTTTTAAACACAACTGTGTCAGAAAGTGCTAGTTTTGTCACAACTGAAACTGTTTGCAGGAAAGAGCTTTCAAACGAGCTTCCTGTTTCAAAAAGAAAAAAAAAAAATCTTTTAGAATGTCCTGAAATTGTCAAAAACATCCTGTTTTGACATTCAAAGAAAATTTGTCTTTTTGTTGGTGGCAAGTTTGTTAAAAACTAATAATTTTCTGAAAGACTGGAGAAAAAAACCCACCCCAAACCAAAGTATACTTCAAAGGTCTCTGTGAGCTCATTTCAGTACTTGGGCTTTTTGATTGATGGAAGTTGAACGGGAGCCTGCCCAGTTTATGAAGTGACCAGGTGTTCACTGTCTCAAGATATGGAAAAAAAAAATCCCGTCTCACTCCCATCACATGTATGGTTGACTCATCTGATACTGGTTTATGGAGGAAAACCCCAGAAATTGCAGCATCTGTTACCTGCAGGTCCTGGTTTGCAATCAGACACTTCTTCATCCTTGGAAAGCATCATAACTCTGCTTTTTAGGAAATGCAGGAGAGTTGGGAAAAGAAAGTTTTGTTAGCTTGAATACAGTCTGTTGCACCTAATGCTGCCAGTGCTTTTAGCCCTGGAAGCTGCTTTTTGCCTTGAAAGCATCTCCAGGGTGTTGAAGACCAAGAGTGTCTGCACATCGGCATGAATCTGCCAAGTTTTCACACCCACCTCAAAACTGGGTGCTGGCAGCACCCATTTCAGAGCCCAGCCAATGGAGATGTCCCAGGGCTGCCAAAACAAGGTCCTTGCATCCATCCGTGAGATTTGAACCAAAGCAGGAGGGAATGCGTCAGTGAGGAATGCTGCAACGAGGGGGAAAAAGAGCCAAGCAAAGTTCAGGTAAGGTCAAACCAAAGAGAACCAGTACGATGTGCCAAATTCATTTATTTTCGGAAGTTAGCAAATGGTTCTTTTGACCTGAAGGGGGATTTTTTATTTTTTTTATTATTTTTTTTGTTAGGGAGTAAACCCTGCTATTCTGGCTCCATTTTTAAGACCAAAATATCCTTGTAAGTTGAAACAAACAAACAAACACACACACACAACAAAACAAAACAAAACAAAAAGAAACAACAAACCAACACCCAAACATCCTTTTGGAAAACAACAAGACAGGGATTAGATTGTCTGGACTCTTTTTTCACCAAATTTTGTCAAAATTGTAAGTTCAGTCTGTGAATGCAAAGTTTTCTTCCTGTCTCCCCACCAGCCTCCACAAAATCTGCCATGTCTTAGCAAATCTGAACACCTTACAAACACAGCAAACCTTAATATGAGAGATTGTTCCCTATGCCACCATCCCTGGTAGGTTATAAGTTGTCTCTGCTACTTTGAGATTTTGGGGCGTAAAATGAAATGTGAACAGTTAATGAATTTAGTGATTTATAAGCCCTGACATACTAAATTAATTAAGAAACAGTGGACAAAATGCAAATCTGGGACTAGTGAATGAGAGTATGTTACTAACTGGATTTCAGATGATGAATATCTAAGTTCATATGTGATGAAAAAGCAAAGCTATGAAAGGTGTCTGCAGTCAGAAGGCAAGGTCTATTAAGCGCACTTGTTCTGGATAGTATTGAACAAAGCTCAGGAGAAAAATTGGATAAAATAAATGCTTTTGATTTTCTAATGTGTTTTGAGCTAAGGCCAAGGACTCAGATGGTTTTCCTAAGAATTACGCTCGGTTGTTTGCAGGGAAATAGCTCTTTACACCAGAACAATCTCTGGAGCTGGTGAAATGCTTCCCAGCTGTGGGCTGTTGAATTCAGATGTCACTTCAGTCTTAGCAAAGCCTTCCTCCTTCGCAGATGCAAATTGGCTTAGTTTGCTGAGTGCTTAATATTAAGCAACAGCCCTAAAAAGCCTGGGTTACGTGGTGTTTAAAGCCAAAAGTGAGTTCTCTCCGTCTTAAGGATGCTGCTAGGACTTGCTGGGGCTGTGCAGCCTGTGAGCATCTCCCTGTGCTGTATCAGTAACAGGAGGGGACGGGGAGGATGCTGTGAAACAGCCCTGCAGCAGAAGTGCATAGCTCTTCTTGGAAAATGGGGCAAAACCAGCTGTTTTTTGCTGTCCTGGGGGTGTGAGCACAGATATGTGTGCCCTTTAGGGTGCCAGCTTTGATGCTGCATGCTCAGTGATAATTCACCCCCAGGCCACCCCAAGACTCATCTCTTCCACATTCTCCTTTTGAAACTTTGTTCCTCCCTCTCATTTAATTTATTATTTTTTTTTTCTGCTCTGGCCAGACCCTTTTGCCAACACATTTCCTGCTTGCAAATGAGAGCAAAAAGGAGGTTTGGGGGAGAGGAGCGATCATATGGACATTTCTGGGCCTCTGATAAAGGGATGGGGGTGCTGGCAGCTCTGTCAAACCACGTCTGATGGTTTTGTGATGTGGGCTGTGTAATGTCCCATCTGGGAGAGAGACGAGTCCAAACTCACCCACTCACATATTTTCCAGAGATGTGTTACCGCACATATGTTTGGAGGACAGGAGAAACCTGTTAAAGAGATAACCTCGGCGCATCCCAGTGCCTCCCTCCCCTGGGGTCTACTCTGCCTGCAGGATCCTTATGCTGCTCCCAGCCTTGTGGCCTGGGGGATGGATGCATCTTGCCAGAAAAAAAAAAAAAAAGAGAGAGAGAGAGAGAAGAGAAAGTGCCTGCCAGCTTCTGGCCCTGCTACCACCATGCTACAGCCCTGAAGCTGCTTGAGATCAGCAGTGCTGGCAGCGCAGTGGGGTGAAAGGAGGGTTCTTATATGGCATTTGTAGTCTTTATATCCATGCACTTGAGAAAATCACAGGAACAAGGGAAAAAAGAAAAGGGTAAGGCAGTGAAGGGCTCACAGCAGCGCAGCACCTCCAGTTTGCAGAGGGGAAGTTCTCTGTCAGTGGGCTCAGCTCAGTGCAATTAGGCTGAATAATGAATGGGCTACTTATTATCAGCTGGAGCAGCACCTCTTAGGAACAGGTTAAAATCCCCTTACTGTAAAAGCTGTCCAAGCAGAACAAGCGACAACATATATTTGCCCAAATCCTCCATGTTCTGGATGATAAATCTCAATTTCCAGTGGCTTTTCACCCCAAGACCTCCAAGAACCGGGAGCAGGAGCCTCCTGAGGGACCATAACCCTGTTCTCAGCCCTGCTGACAAGAGCTGCATCCCTATAGTTCGGTGACACAGAGACTACCCCAGGATATGAGAGCAGCCCAAAAATGTTTGAGGGATGTAAACAAGAGGAGGGAATGCATCGGGGCACTGCTGAGAGCCGGCTCTGCTGAATGCAGAGGGGATCGGAGGAACCCCATAGGGTATGCTGAGCCTGACACAGCTCGGATTATTGTGCTATCACAGTGACAGATATTTTCCTCCTTGCACTCGAAGACTTCAGTGTGCATGGCTTTGTATGCTCTTCTGCAACCCCTTGGTGACCTGGCTGGTCTCATCTGTCAAACAATTTGTAAGCTTTATGAGTTGTTTTAGGAGTTTTAGACTCAGAGCTAAAGCTTTCAGTAGACGCTCTATTTTATTTTTAGAAAAAGCTGAGTGTCCAGCAAGGAAGGAGAGACACAGCGGATGCTTCAGCATGCGTATCACACATAGTGGCACCTGCCTTGACCCTGCTGAAGAGGTGCCACCCAGCTTGTCCCAGTGCTGCGTGTGGGATTGGCTTGGAAATGGCTCTTGCATGGTCCTGGGGGGTGGGATGCAAGTACTTGTGGCTGGATGGTCCAGCTGGAGCTGGGAAACAAGGCCTTGGCAAGCACTTTTATCACCTCTACTCATCACAGGGGCCAGCTGCCAGACTGCTCAAAGGTCAAGGAATTAAGGATGGATGTTTGAGGAGTATCGCTTGCATCTCTCACTCTGTTATTATGGAAAAATGTTCTTGTTCATCCATTTCATTTTACACCAGGGTATAGCCTGGCTAGCCTGAAGTTGGCAGTGACCCCTTTGTGAAGCGCCAAGACTCTTTTACACACATGTAATAAAATAAATCACTTGAGCAAGCTGCATTGCAACTTACGCTCTCTCCCACCTCGGCACTGGGAGGCTGGAGCCAAAAAGCCATCGCAGTGGTGTGAGCAACCTGTGAGCCGAAGTCCATGTGCAGGGTGATGGGCATGTGGATGAAGGTAGGGTTTTGTGCCCCCAAAGCCAGCAGTTTTAAAGCCTCTTCACTACAAACCGTTAGAAGCCCGCCCCCCCCCCTCCCCCAGCCCCATGCTCTTTCTTTGCTCTTAATCTACATTAAAACTTTCTGAGCTGATATTTGCATGCAGAGGACCTGTGCAAGTTGCAGGTAATGTAAAATATGCAAGGTTGCTTAGGTAAGAGGCTCGGATAACACAGATAGGACTAAGCTCCAAGCCACCACCTTTCTGGATGCATTTACACTTCAGGCCAAGCTCAAAGAGGATAATGCCAGTATGTACTGAGCCCTGGCTGCGCCTCCTGCTTTGGGCACATGTGGAGAGACATCTCACAGCAAATAGCTGTACTTGATCCAAATTTGCAAGTGGGAATCAAAACATGAGCCTCTGTGGGGTTGTTGGTAGAGATGAGTGTAGAGGTTTGTCAAGTGGCCCTGGCTCTAGGTAGGTTTTGGAGGCTCTTGGCATTATGTGAGGATGGCTGGTTCCTCTCCAGAGTTATTCTGGATTCCGTAGGTGTATGTGCTCACATTTATTATGCTCTAGGTTGGAAAGCAACAGTGGCAATGGTTTTACTGTTTGCTTGTTCTGCTGTTGTCTGCTGACTCCCACCTCTCAGCCTTTCTAGCCAGCGTGGCAGCAATGCTCCAAGCTGCTCAGGGAAGGACAAAGGGCTCCAAAACCCCAGCTCTGGCCAGCAGCAGACAATTAATTGAGTTAAACAGT